CACACATTCAACAGATCAGCTTATCGCCTGGCACCAACGATGATCTAGCAGCTATGACTGCTGCCCAACAAGCTGCCCCGACATAGACAAGCTACGACGCAACACCACTGAGAAGATCAACAAGGATCGACCCAAGCCAGCCTTCCTCGACAAGTCTGACTCTTCGGTGCAGCAAACACCTTCTCAGCCTGCATCATCACAGCTCGTACCGCAACCTCAGACGAGTCGGTCCGCTCCAGCAGAACCGACAACCTCAACCGACAGCACTCCTACTCGCCCTACTATCGATCGACGCGATAGGAAGCTTTAACCTAAGGCTCGTTTTTCGGACTTCGTCAGCATTCACTATTTTACATAGAACGCGCCTTTGAAATTTTCTGCTCCCACCAAACGTTTACGAAAGTCCACAAAAAAGACCAAAACGTCTTGAAACTACCAAAAAAAGAGAAAAACATTTTGTAAACCCAAAAACAGCTTTGCACGTTTTTGCCTTGCACTCTTTTGTGTATTGCTATGCATTTATGCTGCTTTTTCATTTTGCTTTGCATATACACCGTCGGTCGGTTGCACCTCGGTTGCACTTTCCGCTGAATGTCCGCAGGTCAACTGGAAGTGGAAAACCTTACGACTTAACCGCCTACGTGAACTTCACGAAATGTCCCCCACGAACAGTATTTTACCGATTCGACACCGTAAGGAGGACACGGGTGGGAGCCCGCTAGGGTCCGAATACATGGTTCTCCCCCAGCAGCTGCATCAGGTTTCACAACCTGGTCTCGCAGAAGGCTGGCTCGCGACGGACAGTCCTCACGTAGATCGAAGAACTGCCTACACAGCCCCTTCTGGGAGAGGGCTATGTAGCAGTGTGAAGACTCCCGGGTTTGCCTGTGTAAAATTCTAACTAAAGTTATTTCATTGTACACCTAGGCAACTGGTGTGGTTGGTTGAACTGATTGCTGAGTTCGACTGCTTGACTTGCTCATCGCCATTTTCGCTTGGCGCTCGTTTCGGTCGCAACTCGCAACTGCCCTGTGTGCTGTGCTTGCTCCGTTCCCCTAGCTAAGGCGTCCACGGTGTCGTTCTTTTAGAGCTAGATAACGGAATCTTTTGCTGTACCAATAAAAGTTTCCCTGCAACTTGATCCGGCTTCTCGAATCGCTCTGGGCTTCCGGAACAGGCGACCCTCTAATCAATCTGTCGGTAATCTTAAATTCGGCACCTCTATTTAGAAATAGCTAGCCATGCATATGCGATTATCGAGTGCTTTTTAGGGTCCACTCCTTATCTCAATAGCTTTTATTTCTTTAGAATATCTGCATCCAATCTTTCCGCTGCCCTACCGCCAATTCACCTTTATATATCTCTCTTGGGGCAGCCTATTTTTTCACTCTTATTCAGAGCTCCCTATCGTATTACGCTAGCTACTTGCTGTTCATGCACCTTGCAAGCACCACCAATATTCTAACTCACTTTGCTCTCTCCCCAAGCAATTTTTGGCTCATACTAAACCGATACTTCGTAGATTACTTACTGGTACAACGCACTTGTCTCTACGCAGGCGTTAGCAATCCACCCGTACTGCTGATGATTTTATAGGATTTTCAAAAGTAACCTTCAGCATAATCATTGTTGCACACTGTACAGGATTTTTCTCGTCTCCAAATGTTTTAATATAAGACTTTAACAATGTTTAACTCCACGCCTGTTCTTGCGGTCCTCTCTCGGTTTTCCCTCACTTTCCCTTTTCTTTGAAGTCCGGAACTTCTTTGAGGTCTAGTATTATACTGAGGAACAGTTTTCGCCCAAGACAGACCTACCAACCGACAAAGACTTACATGGAGCATGGTTGAACACCAAAGGGCTCACCCTGGTAGCACATGTCCAGCTCCTGTCCAGTTTAGCATCCTAAACGTTCTTATGAGAGCATTAGGCTAAATTGGACAGGAACTGCTACCGTGAGACGGCTAAAAACGGATTTTGTCCAGTTTACGGAAAGCCAATGAAAATGATGCTAGCGTTGACTAATATAAAAGCGCAACTACGAGTGAAAATCCGGTAGGTCCAGATCCCGTCATTGCCTACCCTGGGTATCCGAATACGGACATCACACGATTACGCACTTAGCAATTAACTAATCTATGGACGGTTCGGAGCTAACTTTCACCCAGTACCTGCTGCCGTAGTTGCTGGACGTGAGAACTCACCTAGGCGACGCTCCAAGCTGTTGGCCAGGAAGCGAAATGGATCTTACCGCGCACCTGAGAACATCACAAGGCGACAGAAAATGAAAACCGGGGTACAAGAATGCTGTATGTACATGATACGGTGTAGTACATAGAACGTTAGTAGAAGAAAGCGACGTTGTCCATATGGTTAATCCGCTTTCGCGAGTGTCAAGGTAGGAGGCTAAAGTTGTGCATAAGGAAGCAGGGGACTCAACTTATTCGCACCGCATACTTTATTTCGCTTAACAGGCAGTCTCTTGTGCCGTGTGGAATGCAACCACGTTTTGATGTGGCGCGTAATGTCAGCATCCGAGGCTGCATCACCCATGCGTTGCCGAACGATGCCTTGATAGTGTTTATGGATTACTGTATGTCAACCTACCTTGCATAAGGCCGTTTATATTTGTTCGCCTGAATGCAAACAAACCTCCTGCGCCGGAGTACTTCATCTCCGCGGCAACTGATCTTATCATTAGCCGCTCCATGGTACCCCGGACGACGATTTGCACGTTAGCACCGTGCCCAGCAAACAAATGGTTGACCTGAAAGTCGTGGAATAATAAGACGAAGTTACGAATCTGCTTTTGAAACCTTGGTCCTTCAGCCGTTCATCATATCTCTTAAGCTCACTGAGAGAGATGAATGGCAGAGAAAGTCCCGGTGCAAGGCTTTGGGACTGTCGTTGCCGCATCTGCAACATTGCTTCAAACATGCGGCGATGGCCGACCAGTTCTGATCGCAAGAGACATAACTCATCTAAAAATAAAGCTGGGTGCAATGCAATGCATTTGTGATGTGTTGCATTTTATGGTCTTCAGTTCCTGCAGCACCTCCAGATTTCATGGTGCAACATCAGCAACAACAAGGGGTGCGATTACTGTTTATTAGGGGCCTATGAACGCGATACATACGGTTGGTTGTTGATGGCCCTGGACGTGGTGGACTAATGCCACTGAAGAGAGACGTGGTCGCAAGAGCGTATATTGCTGCAGCAGGCCTTTTAGGTTTGATGGGACGCGCGGCATCTTCGTCATCGGAGCTAGAACAGACGGACCGGCGTCTAAAGGGAAATAAAAACACCATACTCACATTGCATGCTTAGCTGGAAGGCCCGTCGGAATTGTATCGTCCGTGGATGGCAGCATGCCGCGCTTTGATTGTCGTTCCATTTCTCGGGCATGCTGGAGGCTAACTAACGAGGTGGGTTAATATAACAAAGACTTACTCGTGCTAACGATGATGGACACTGCAGTGCTGGCCACATGGACATCGGGCGCAGTGTGGCTTTTCACCGCTGCATAGTAGTGCGTACCCCGCAGGAAGGTATTTGGACGTACGCACCTTCTTTCAAAGCCATGTATTACTGACAATAGCTATCAACTCCTCGGAGTCAAGGAGTTTGACAACGCTGTATCCTTGAAAAGCCAGCGGTGCTGAAAAAGAAACACGTTAATAGTTAGAGTGTACAAGTGTGCGGCATAGGGTAAATTAGAAGGCAATCGTTCAAGAGAAACGCGATACACTTGAATAGAAAAGGACAGGCTGAGAAGCTCCATACCTCTGTCGACACTTGCGAGGCACGGAAGATGTACGCCGTTGAGGAATCCATGCTGTGCGTGAAGAGACTACGGAGATTTGTAAATTCCTGGCATTGCACGACCATGTTCCCAGACACATTCACAGACACATCTGTTAGCACTCTCGGTTTGCCATCGATGATGACCACGTTATCCGGCTTCACTGTGGAAACCCAAGTGCCTTGCAAACGAAACGCTTTTTGACCCTTATATGTGCACATCTCTACATTCCCACCAGTGCTTGCGCTGCTGAAAGTAGGAGGAAGCTGCTCCCCTTCCGACGTACGCCGCATGATTTGAGCAACCGGAAGCGGGGAATAGTGAATCATGCGCTTGATGGAAAACAAGTGAGACTCAAACGGAAATGCTGAGAAACTGTCTAAAGTCCCCATCTTCCGTACGTCAGCGGGTAGATGAACCAGTGAGTGCACGCTCCACGTCGTCTCACTGGGACCGTAAAGATCAAAGTAATCATATAAAAATACATGAATTAAAGGAAAAAGGAACTGAAATAAAGCAGCGTGAAGGTGGGCGTGGCACATGATATAAATAGCGAAAGAGAAAGTTATGATAGAAGGCGTCAGGCAATACCCCGATTAAACACTCTGGTCCGGCGTAGAGCAAACACTGACGCAACTCAGTTGCCTTCCAAGATCGGTATTCATCCAGTGATCGAAGCTTACGTGGAAAGTCCGATGTCCAGGAAGGTCCGAAGCCTTGTAACCGTTCGTTTTCTAAAATCAAGCGCTCCCTGCGCAGTCGAAGTACGCTGTCCACGGGCGAAGTGAGCCAGTATTTTATCTAGCTGCGTGTTACACCTAAACACACCGAATGCATATAGTCAATTGGAAAGTCCTCAACCAAATCTACATTCAAAGCAGTAAAAGGCGACGGTTGGCTGACATTCCTTCGAACGGAGGCATTCGCCCGCAGTGTGCTACCCGTAAGTGGGTATGTCACCTTCTTGCTCATTATATAACACCCAACACCACCACCACACCAAACCCCTACCACCCCACACCCCCCCCCCCCCCCACCCCCCACCACCCCCACCCACCCCCACCCCACACCCCCCCCCACCACCCCCCCGCACCCCCCCCCCCCCCCAACACCCCACCCCCCCACCCCACCCCCCCCACCCCAACCCCACCCCCCCAACCCACCCCACCCCCCAACCCCCAACCACCCCACCACCCACCCCCCACCACCCCCACACCCCCCCCCCCCCCCCCCCCCCCACCCCCCCACCCACCCCCCCACACCACCCACCCCCCCCCACCACCACCCCACACCACCCACCCCCCCCCCCCCCCCCCCCCCCCCCCCCCCCCCCCCCCCCCCCCCCCCCCCCCCCCCCCCCCCCCCCCCCCCCCCCCCCCCCCCCCCCCCCCCCCCCCCCCCCCCCCCCCCCCCCCCCCCCCCCCCCCCCCCCCCCCCCCCCCCCCCCCCCCCCCCCCCCCCCCCCCCCCCCCCCCCCCCCCCCCCCCCCCCCCCCCCCCCCCCCCCCCCCCCCCCCCCCCCCCCCCCCCCCCCCCCCCCCCCCCCCCCCCCCCCCCCCCCCCCCCCCCCCCCCCCCCCCCCCCCCCCCCCCCCCCCCCCCCCCCCCCCCCCCCCCCCCCCCCCCCCCCCCCCCCCCCCCCCCCCCCCCCCCCCCCCCCCCCCCCCCCCCCCCCCCCCCCCCCCCCCCCCCCCCCCCCCCCCCCCCCCCCCCCCCCCCCCCCCCCCCCCCCCCCCCCCCCCCCCCCCCCCCCCCCCCCCCCCCCCCCCCCCCCCCCCCCCCCCCCCCCCCCCCCCCCCCCCCCCCCCCCCCCCCCCCCCCCCCCCCCCCCCCCCCCCCCCCCCCCCCCCCCCCCCCCCCCCCCCCCCCCCCCCCCCACCCCCCCCCCACCCCCCCCCCCCCCCCCCCCCCCCCCCCCCCCCCCCCCCCCCCCCCCCCCCCCCCCCCCCCCCCCCCCCCCCCCCCCCCCCCCCCCCCCCCCCCCCCCCCCCCCCCCCCGTGTGCATTGTCACAGTTGTAATAACCCGAGTGTTCTTTCTTTCGTTTCACATAAGCGCGTGCAGGGGTATCACAGATAACGGCTTTCAGGTGGAATAATCCTTCCCTTTGCAAAGAACGAACCTCATCAATCGTTACGTACAAATAATCGTCCACGTCATTCGGTTTTGAGGTCCCACCATAAACACCAACAATGAATGGCATTGTGAACACTGGCTTTATGACACGACACGATATAGGCCATGCATCTTGGATGCATTAAAAGATTTAATGCTGTCAACCTGCAACTGATAAGCAACAGCGTCATCAGCGGCTAACGAAAGAGCAGAGCATACACGCTGTAAACCTCTCAGCAGACCTAAGTGACCGTAAGTGCCCGGTGCAACAACGCGTATGCGGGAGTTCCGTGGGTTGCACATCAGCGTCCGGTAATCCTTTGGCAAAACTGATATCCAAGGTTGCACAAGCCCCAAGAGTGGACGAACAAATGATGCTGGTACCTGAGGTTTTGCAATCAATTTTCTCAAGTTACGGACCACTTCATCGGGATCCCTGTCATCTGCACAGCAGTTGGTAACGTTAGTAGATAAATAAATAAATAAATAAATATTTTATTCCCGACAAAGCGAGACACGCTTTTTGGGCATGATCAGCATATTGCATTATTGCACATGATAGCGGAATAAGCAGCACCAACAGTGGGAGTAGTACAGTTGGAAACAGTAGTGTGGGCCCATAGAGCCCAAATGTTGGATGTAGTCTATGTACACAGAATGCGAGAGGTAAAGATAGTAATCAGATCACTTATATGGTATGTTGATGAGGAACTAGTCTGATGAGTTCCCGTAAGCAATGTAAGTCAGTGAGTGAAGTATGAGGAAACGGGTGAAAAATAATTAAGAATAGTGATATGTCACTAATCAGCTATGTAGGCGTGTTCGTGCGAGAGCCGATATATACACAGAACTTGTACATATGGTGTCAGTCAACTTACCAATGTTAGAGGCGGTGACTTTATTATGTGTCGAGTCACATCAGCCACGTCGCAGTGTTGTTAAACAGACATTTGTGGCTTTTGGTAGGGAAAACGCTTGCCAGGCGAAGACCCACCACGTCCTGAAACACTGCCGGCTGTTGATATAACATTGGCAAGATTGTATCTGGCCGATTACCCTCGCGGATATTCGCAGTCACGTAACGCCAATTTGTTTCCTCTGACTGTGTAGTTGCCTTCGGAGTCCAGTACAAGTGGTTGGAGCTGTTGAAGTCAGACGACTCAGGTGACTTGTATTGAATTGATCAGTTTCCAAGGTTCTTTAGTGTGTCATGATTATGAAGTGTGGGTTTTTTCTTTGTTCTTTATTGAATCCGTGTCCATGGGAGCGTCGCAGGTACGTCTTCAGCGGTGTTCGGTGCATGTAATGTTATCCTGTAGAACAAAGAAGAGAAGAAAAACGGACCGAGCAAACTGCCAACAAAATTGAGCAGGACTAGGTTATTGTATAAATATAAAATTTATGGTAAAGTTGTGCTGGCTGAAATCAATGGAGTGACCGATGAGCTGAGGCTAGTGGTACCTACACCGCCAATGGATAGTTGCGATCTGAACGAAGAGAGACACCAAACAAGAGAGGAAGACGTTAATGTGAGCTGAGATACATGATAGTGGAGCCGAGAGCCAAACTCAATCAGAGACCGGAAATTCGGATTTCGGTAGGCGTTACCAAGCATAGAGATAATGATTAAGACAAAGAAGAGTATCATAAGGTTGTAGCTTATACCAAAGAGAACTTGAGTCGATGGCAGCCGGTGCTCAAAATAAGAGAGGCCTAGGCTTGAGACCTATAGGAATTTGGAGCCTCAGAGGACTGACTTGGCCAAAATATTTTGGATTGAGACGAACCGAAAGAAAGGTAACCAAAAGAGAACTGGGATGTTGCGCTGACGCTAGTGGTAACTATACCACCATTGAAATGTTGCGATATAGACCGAAAGCGAGGCAAAACAAGAGAGGGGAACGTAATTGTGAGCTAATATTCATGATGGTGGAGCCGAGAGGCAAAAGTCAATCAGTGACCTGAAATTGCAACTTCGCATGGGACCAAGCATACAGGTAATGAGCCAGACGGGGGCCAGTATCATGAGGCTGTTTCTTATGTCAATGAGAACTTTAATCGATGCTCAAAGAAAGAGAAGCCTTTGTTTAAGACCTATAGGCATTTGAAGCCGGAGGCCGGTGCGGTCCACGTGGTTTAAGAGTCCGTGGCGCAGTTGGGAAAGCGAATCAAATGTGGCCTAGTATGTTGCGCTGACACTATGGGAACCTAAACCACTATTGAACCGATGCGATATGGACCAGAGAAGAGGCCAAACAAGAGAGGGGGAAGTAATTGTGTGCTGAGAAGCATGAGAGTGGAGCCGAGAGACAAAACTCAGCCAGGGACCTGAAATTTCAATTTCGGTAGAAGGATAAAGCATGCAGGTAATGTAGCAGACGGAGGAGAGTACATGAAGCATTTAATTATACAAATGAGAACATTTGCCGACGGCAGCCGATGCTTGAATGAGAGAGGCCTTGTTTTGAGACCGATGGGTATTAGGAGCCTTAGAGGCCGGACAAGTCCAGTAGGTTTAATAATGAGTGTCACAGAAGCAAAGAGAATCAAATGGGGGCTAGTAAGTTGCGCTGGCGTTAGAGGTACCTGTACCGTCACTGTACCGAGGCGATATGGACCAAAAGAGAGGCCAAACAAGAGATGGAGACGATACTTGTGAGCTGAGCAGAATAATAGTGCAGCCGAGAGGCAAGATTAATCTAGGATATGAGTTTTCGATTTAGGTAGGGGGACCAAGCGTAGCAATAATGAATCGGACGGAGACGAGAATCATGAAGTTGTTACTTATACCGCTGAGAATCTTAATCGATGGCATCCGATCCTCAGAGGAAGAGAGGCCTTGGCTTGAGACCTATAGGCATTTGGAGCCTGAGAGGCCGGAGTAGTCCAATGGGTTTAACGATGAGTGCCATAGTAGCAAAGAGAATCAAGCGGGGGCTAGTAAGTTGCGTTTACGTTAGAGGCACCTATACCGCCATTGAACCAATGCGATATGAAACAAATGAGAGGCCAAACAGGAGAGGGGGACGTAATTGTAAGCTGAGATGCATGATGGTGGAGCCGAGAGGCAAAAGTCAATCAGAGACATGAAATTGCAATTTGCAGAGGTCCAAGCATACTGATAATGTATCAGACGGAGGAGAGTACATGAGGCTGTTTCTTATGCTAATGAGAACTTTAATCGATGTTGAAAGGAAGAGAAGCCTTGGTTTGAGACCTATATGCATTCGGAGCCTGAGAGGCCGGACTAGTCCAAGAGGTTTAGGTGTGAGAGCCACAGTAGCAAGAATATGTAGCGACGCCTGGGGTTAGGCATACAGATAATGAATCGGACGGAGAGAACCATGAGGCCGTTACTTATACCATTCAGAACCTTAGTCGATGGCAGCCGATCCTCAGAGGAAGAGTGGCAATAGTCTGGGACTATAGGCATTTGGAGCCTGAGAGGCCAGAGTAGTCCAATGGTTTAACGATGATTGCCACAGTAGCAAAGAGAATCAAGCGGGGGCTAGTAAGATGCGCTGACGTTAGCGGCACCTATACCGCCATCGAACCGGTGTGAAATGGACTAAAGAGAGGCCAAACAATAAAGGGGGACGTAATTGTGAGCGTAGATGCTTGATAGTGGAGCCAAGATGCAAAACTCAATCAAGGACATGAAATTGCAATTTGCAGGGGTCCAAGAATATTATTATCAGACGGAGGCGAGTACATAAGACTGTTACTTGTGTCAATGAGAATTTAATCGATGTTGAAAGGAAGAGAAACATTGGTTGTAGAAACATAGGCATTTGGAGCCTGAGAGGCCGGACTGTAGCGCCTGTAAATTTACTTATCTTTCATTGTACATTCCTTTCATATTACAACCAATTCTTGTACATTAACCTTGTATACTTGTTTTGATTAATAAATAACACACTTTTTGAACCACGCGGGCAAATCGACGTGTTCTCTCTGTGTTCTTCTGTCGCGGATTTTATGGCATTGTCGGTCACTACGTTCTAACATAGAGCAATATTCATCTACAGATCTCTTTCCGTCTCAACTGGTTTCACCATCGTCGTTTGTCATCCATCGGAGTTGCTGACGCAAGAGGACTAGGAAGTTTTATGTGGTTGGACTTCTAACCCACGTCGAAACCCTTCTGTGAGTCTTGTCATTTCTGATCATCATTTGTTCATCTTTATTTCTCTTTGGGTCCGAGTCCACTACAGGACTAGTCCAAAAGGTTTAGGAGTGAGAGCCACAGTAGCAAGAACAAACGGCGACGCCTGGGATTAGGCATACATATAGTGAATCTGGCGGAGACGAGAGTCGTGAGGCCGTTACTTACACCATTGAGAACCTTAATCGATGGCAGCCGTTCCGTAGAGGAAAGGAGGCCTTGGCTTGAGACCTATAGGCATTTGGAGCCTGAGAGGCCGGAGTAGTCCAGACTTTTCAGCGATTTATCGACCAAGTCCTTCGTGGTCTTGATTTTGTCTTTGCCTACATCGACAACATTTTGGTGGCCAGCACAACCAAAGAGGAACATCTGTCTCATTTACACCAGGTTTTCCAACGTCTAGCTCATTTTGGTGTCACAATCAACCCTGCTAAGTGCATTTTTGGCATGCCTAGCATCGATTTTCTTGGACATCACATCGACTCCACAGGTATACATCCACTTCCGGACAAGGTCACTGCCATCAACGACTACCCTGTGCCTCAGTCCATAAAGAGCCTCCGACGTTTCCTCGGTCTCATTAACTACTACTGTCGTTTTATCGCTAACTGTTCCGGTGTCCTAAAACCACTAACCGATTTACTGCAGCGTAACCCGAGAAAGCTAATTCTGTCACCCGACGCTCTAGCTGCTTTCGGAAAAGCCAAACAAACGCTAGCAACCGCGA